AGAACAAATGGCTTTAAATTAGATAAATTCCGATTCAGAAAGGATATAGGCAAGCACTGGTTTGGTAATAGAGTTGTGGATATGTGGAATAGGCTACCGAGTGCTATAGTAGGATCGGGGACGCTAGGGAGCTTCAAGATGAAGTTGGATAGGCACATGGAAGTGCTGGGATGGGTGTGAAAGGGATCTGCCCTGTATGGGCCAGTCGGCCTCCTGCAGTATCCCACTTTCTTATGTTCTTATGTTCTTATATATATATATATATATATATATATATATATATATATATATATATATATATATATATATATATATGTATATATATATATATATATATATATATATATATATATATATATATATATATATATATATATATATATATATATATATATATATATATATATATATATATATATATATATATATATATATATATATATATATATATATATATATATATATAGTGTATATATATATATATATATATATATATATATATATATATATATATATATATATATTAACTCAACTTATCCAACCACTAATCAACTCCTACAATCCTCCCAAAACAAAAACTTAATATACCCGACCTGTCTAACAACCCCCTTCGACCCTCCCTCTATAAAAAAAAAATGTACATTTAACTCAATACAACTATTCATTAACCACACAAATCATATCACCCCCAAGAAATCCTACCATACTATAAATCAACCTAATTACCTCCAAAGCACACCTCCCCCCAAGACCTTACTAACAATTATCCTCCACTTCCCCCTCACCCCTTACTATATTGACACACACACACACACACATACATTCACACAACAACCCCCTTAAGCAATCCTAATTCAGCACAAATCAACATACCACCTCCACCCCCAACCAATCCCTAATACAAACAACCCCCCAACAACCAATCTCCAAACACACCCCTCCCCTCCCCCCAGACAAAGCCTTACATAAATACTACAACTCTCAGAACCAAATCAAACATACCCAACCCCTGTGACATCCACTCTCAATAAAATCGACCAAACTTAAGACTGAAACCAATCAACCTATATCTCATTCTCGTCTCCGTTCATAATTTGACAAAAAGCTCAAATCTGTCTCCTGCTATTACTAAAAACTCTCCTACGATACGCTCATCCTTCCTTACTACGAATACTTTGACATTTCAAGCTCAAAGACTCAATACCCTTCCTCCAACCCGCTCTGTTCCTCTTTGACATAGCTCAAAGACTTTACCTTCATCTTTCTCCAAACAACCCTACGACTAGAGCACCCGCGATGGCCCTTTGCCCGCCCGGTCCTGCTCCCGCCCTCCCTCGGCCTCGTCCTGATTGTAATTGTTACACCATCCGGGCACATTGCCTACCCCCTCACGCAAGCGGTGTTTAGCCACTGCACCTATTCTCTCCTTCTATTCACTTCTATCCTCCCTTTATCCTTCCCCTGAACCTCTTTCCCCCCTGTCACTAGCTTTTATGCATGTATGCTGATTGGCTGGTAAGCGGACGGCGAGTGATCAGTCAGCAGTTGTAGGGGAGAGTATCCACTACATTAGAACCTCTTATTAAGGATTATGTAACCACTTAATAAGGATTATATAAATACTTTTTCTTACGGGAAATAGCCCACCCGGGCACAGGTCATCGACCCACAACGGGGCTTGAAGGGCAAGAAAATAAAGAGTAAAATGAAATTAAAAATAGAACCACTCAATAATGATTATAGAACTAGTCAAAAAGGAGTTGTAAACCACTAATAAAGGTTATAGAACCACTTAATAAAGAGTTATAGAACCATTCACTAAGGATTATAGAACTAGTCAATAAGGAGTTATAGAACCACTAATTAGTATTATAGAACAGCTTAATAAAGAGTTACAGAACACTACTCAGCCTCAGTAATCCAGAAGTTCAAAACATGAAACCATAAATGGATTACGTAAAATAAATACATTGTCTCAGAAAAATATATGTACACTGCCTTACATATTTCCGTTGAGATCACATTAATAGTTTTACTTCAACGGCTACATATGTACTTCAACACAAGAACACAAGAATGGAGGAAACTGCAGCGGGGCCTATTGCTCCATACTGGGCAGTCCCATTTACACCCAGCCCCTATTGCTCATATCCATCCAACCTAAGTTTGAAGCTATCCAGCATATTCGAGTTAATGATGATATTTGGTAACTTGTTCCAGTCGTCCACTACTCTATTTCCAAACCAATGTTTACCTATTTCGCGCCTAAATCTAAATTTGTCTAATTTAAAACCATTGTTACGAATTCACTCCTGGTTGGAAAGTTTGAGTACCCTTGTAATGTCCCCTTTGTTTAGCCCTGACTTCCATTTATACACCTCGATCATGTCGCCCCTCACTCTACGTCTCTCGAGGGAGTGCAAATTAAGATGCTTTAACCTGTCTTTGTACTCAAGGTTCCTACTGCCCGGGATTAGTCTTGTCATTCTCCTCCAAATTCTTTCCAAGGATTTTATATCCATTCTGTAATACGGTGACCAGAATTGAACTGCGTAATCCAAGTGAGGTCTCACAAGCGCAAGATATAGTTTTAAGATGACCTCACTAGTCTTGTAACTAACACTCCTTTGTATGATCCCAAGTACTTTATTAGCTTTGTTTCGAGCAAATACACATTGTTTACTTGGCTTAAGATTCCTACTTATCATTATTCCTAAATCTCTCTCACAGTCGGATTTCTCAATAACATCGTTGTTCATCTGGTATCTGGTTTCCCTGTTTACATCTTCTATACTGAGTACTTTACATTTGTCCACATTGAATTTCATCTGCCAATTTTCAGACCATTCGAAAAATTTGTTAAGATCTTCCTGTAGTTTTGCTGAGTCCTCGTCAGATTTAATTACCCGTCCTATTTTAGTATCATCAGTAAATTTACTTATGTTGCTGTCTATGCCGATATCTATGTCGTTTATGTATATAATAAATAATAATGGTCCAAGTAATGAGCCTTGCGGAACTCCACTAGTGACGTTGCTCCAATGGGATTTAGTGGTGTTAATGCTCACTCACTGTTTTCTGTCCTGTAACCACGCCCTAATCCATTTTAGAATGCCACCTTTAATGCCATGAGCCTCCACTTTTCTTATTAGTCTTTTGTGGGGGACTCGGTCGAAGGCTTTGCTAAAGTCGAGATATACCACATCATAATTGTGCCCCTCGTCCACTGATTCGAAAACTGATGAAAAGAATGTTAATAGATTAGTTAGACATGAACGTCCGCTTGTGAAGCCATGTTGGGAATCCTTGATCAACTTGTGCTTCTCCAGGAGATTTCGAATAGAGTTTGAAATGATTGCTAACAGTAATTTGCCTACAATTGATGTTAGACTGATTGGATGGTAGTTAGATGATAGTGATCTATCTCTCTTCTTGAAAACCGGTATTACACTTTCTATTCTCCAGGATCCTGGTACTACACCTGCTTTTAAGGACATGTTAAACAACTTTGCTAAGGGCATACTAAGCTCTTCCTTACATTCCTTTAATACTCTGGCAAATATCTCATCGGGACCTGGTGACTTATTAGGCTTTAATTTGTCTATTTGCTTACTAACATCGTTACTAGTCACTACTATCTTGCTTAATTTATTTTCTTCACTATCTCTGTATAGAGTCGGTGCTTCGGGTATCATGTTTAAATTTTCGGTGGTGAAAACTGTTGAAAAATATTTATTCAGATTATTGCTCATTTCTCAGTCGTCATCAGTTAGCTTGCCGGTATCTGACTGTATTGGTCTAATCTCTTCTCGTGTTTTAGTTTGATGCATTTGACAGAATCCCTTGGGGTTTGACTTCGCCTCCCTTGCTATCTTCAGCTCAATGTTCCCCTTGGCTTTTCTTATCTCGGTCTTAACCCTACCGGCCAATACCTCATAGTAATCTTGGAAGTAAACTTCACCACGATTTATTCTCCTACCTATAGCCTTCCTTTGTCCAATAATGTTCTTTAAATAATTATTTATCCATTTAAAGTCA